TKRAARRWTTTTKKTTTYCCMAWTTTTYMTGACTTAAATGTCACCATGCTTTCGCCTGTATTTAATTTCTTTTTTTCATGTTATTTTTCTTCTTTTTGTGGCTATTTTCTTTTMTATTTYTCATYTCTCACCTCAAGACTTTCTTCCTCTGTGGTCGTTTTTCTGTCATTTTKGGCTGTACTATATCTCSTATGATCGCAGCTAGTTYTGCTTCTGATAACTCAAATGCTTGCTTCTAACAACCGCATATGACGAACTGATAAATTTTCACTTAACTTAGTTATTGTTTTGATATTTCAGCTGTGATAACAACGATTTTATTTGATCTAATTGTTATCATTATTGAGCCTTTTCAATTAGTTTTTTGAATGTTTTAGTTTTTCAAGCAAGAGGACACAATTGCAAAATACAATAAAAACGCCAAACTAGGAATTGAAACATGTTTTATTGAAAGCTTTTAAATGAAAAACAGTTCTTATTGAAGTTCTTTAGGTGATTGTTTWGGATTTGTTTAATTAAATCTAAAAAAAGGAAAAAAAAAAAATGGAAAATGCTAAGCTCAAAACTATGAATAATAAASCGCTTTAACGAAAGTATTTTAAATGATTCTGGATGAGCATGCGATTTTAACCRGCGATGTTTTCCGAAATTTATTGATCGGACACGGACTTGTGCCAAAAATTGTTACTTTCGTGCATTGAAATTTAAGGAAATGTAACATAGTGACTATACGTCCTTACAACGGAAGTTATCACAAAAATATCAAATATTTCTCACTCGTCTATCCTTAGAAATTGAGAAATGTATCGTGAATATTTTTWGCTAATAAAGTATTAGGTTTTTTGACAAGAATCGTCAGAAATTAAGCAATTTATTGTGAATATTTTTAATTAAAAATGTTTTTAATTATTTTCACTGGATATCGTACGAAATAAAGSAATTTTTCGTGAATATTTTTAAGTAATTTAATATACACTTTATTAACTATGATTTATCACGGTGGCAAATTTTATTTAAACGACAAAACTGACATGGCGTCATGACGGGTTGTTCTTGTCTCTCTTTACAATATGATTGAGAATTTCTGGAGTGAGYTTGAAAAACAATTGCGCGAGAATTCTTTTTAATTAAAATTTTCAGTGAAAAACTGTTTGGGGTTCAATAGGTATGAGATTATTCAACATTAAGAGAAATATATATATATATATTTTTTGCAAAGTTATGATTTTGGTCCAAGTGCATTGAGATTCGGCCATTGAAACGATTTATTCATTTATTTTTCATACATCTATTTATTTATTCAGTCAACTGATTATTTATTGAACAATATTTTTCTTTTTAATTTCTTTTCTATTTTCCATTCACTTATTCTTCACCCAATCGCATTCTCTCATTATTGTTATGTCTTTTTCACGTAGTTTTCATTCCTCTYCCCGGCAGAACTCCATCTTCCCAAAACGAACAGATGTCWYTCTGTATTCTTATCGCATACAAAATGGTCAATACCTCTGCGGTTCAATCTCATTGCCATAAGTAATTTCAAGACAGATTTTCAAATCTTCGAATCTTTAAATTATAAAAAGCTTTGCTCGTAATGTTCATCCTCGGTGATTATCCAATTGACGATTACCTCAAGTCTCGTGGTGAGCTTACCTTATATACATAAAACAATGGACGAAGACTGAGCGCCAAAAAAACGAGCGAAAATCCGTTGGAAACTTCTCAGGTCATGGCAAAGATTAAATATTATCTTCGCACGAAGATTAACCGTCGAAACTTTCCATCATTTAGGTAAGAATTTGATTGAATCAAATGTTAATCAAAATAACGCGAGCACTTTGAGTGCTGTACTTTAGGTTTCTTGAGTGAGATTTTTCCTCAAGTTGGATGGATTAAGAGATTGCAAAAGCTGAGAGTAGAATAGAATCGCCTAAAATACTTTACAAACGTACAAAAACAAAAATGAACTTAGGGGTTTTTGTTCGTTTTTTTTTTTTTGTCAGTTTAAATTTAAATTGCCCAATGTAAAAAAATATMTCTTAAGAACTGAAAATATCGAGTTATAAGTTGGTTTTAGCTACAACATTCGCTAGTGAACTTCTTTCTGAAGTGCAAGAGTGCCAATTGAATCATTGCAAAGATAAAAAAGAACAAAAAGAGTCGGCTTTTAATAAAAGCACTAGAAATCTAATCAAATGCGATAACTCGGTTGTGGTGGCTCTGAGACAAAAAGAGCTTAGCTTATATGCTATTAAAAATGAATAAATAAAATATGTTGTTTTTGAACATTTTGCCTCATCAAAATGGAAATTGAATTGTCTAAGATATGAACAGCCATGCTGTTCAATTAGGATTACAGTAAAATTACGATGATCAGCTTTTCTGGTGTGATTTGGATGAGATATCGCCAACGCCGACCTAACGGGCYCTCATCTCGTAAGTCCTCGTTTGTAATTGATTTAATTACATCACTATCTCAATCCAATACCCTAATTTTCTCACTCTTTGATCTTATAAATGTGCTATTCAAAGCAAAGTTTTTGTAGTGGAGAGTTTGAGTTAAAATAAAAATAAAAAAATTAACAGCTTACAAATACTTTCAAACCACGCGCCGTTTCATGTTTACATAAACTTACAAATGAAATAAAGCGTTTTTGAGAATGAAACTTATAGTCAAGTTGGTCCATTTTTGGCACTGTTTTGTGCTATTTTCATTATYGAAACTATTATTCTATTGTTTTCGTTCTTTTATTTCTTTTTATTTSTKTTTCATTTATTCATCTATTTAGTTTCCCTCCAGGCATCCATTCATTGAACCATTCCTACAATTCGATGCTGGGGGAAAGTTCATTCTAGCAAACTCTACACTCCTGTTGAACGCCAACTTAATTTTTCAAAAAGATCATATCGAARATCCTTCTCTTTCTGGCACCATAAYTATTTACCATTGTAATCATATCCGTTTTAACCTCTTAAATATAAAGRCATTGCGTAAGAGGCTCCAGTTTCGTTCTCTTGGTATGAAAATTAATTAATAAGCCTGCACAGCTTGAACTGCCTGTTTCCTTTCGGGTTTCTCCGGTTAAATTCAAAACCTGAGTAAATATGAAAGAAAAATAATTTAAAATGCCGTTGAAATACCTTTAGGGTAAGTGACTAGTTGTAAATGAGTCCGATAATATTAGATGTTTACTTAAAGGAGACAGCAATATAGAAATTCCTGATGTACTATGTAACTTAGAAATATGCCGGGGTAAATATGGGTGAGAAGTAGAAATGCAATTAAAAGAGCTAAAGCTATACTTTAAGCATGTATATATGTACAAGATTATCGTTAGATGTGATTAAAGCTGAGATCTGATTGGCTACTCCAATGCAAGATATCAGTTCATATCCCGTGAGAARGAAAAGAGCAATGCGTGATATATCCATACAGTGTACTGAAACGCAATCCAATATGGGTGGTATGACGTCACGTGCAAGCTTAGTTTTTTGATCTTTGAAAATGTTTTTTTAGTGCTTTTGAAGTAACATTGATTTGAAGTGACTTATATATACGTGTAGTCATAAAGTGTTTTGTCAAAAACATGTCAGTTTCGCTGAAGATTTCGGGAAAATTCTGACTGTAATAATATAATCTATCTTACGTCGCGCCCTTATGTAATTTTTCTTTCTAAAAAAAGGGAGCAGGGATGATAAAGAAACAAACAAACAAAAATACCCTATGTATTCTTGGCTTCTTTTGCTTCGACTTGCTGTCGGAGTGAATTCGACATAAGCTCGTGTACTCGGAAGTCAGTGTTCGTAGACAATACAGTGACTCGAAAGGAACTCGTGTACTCGGAAGTCTTCCGACAGTGTTCGTAGTATTATTGATTTGCTCGTCACGTTATTCGGCTTCGACTTGTTTTCGGAATGAATTCGAGAGGCATTCGTGTAATCGAAAGTATTCCCGACGATATTCGTAGACAGTATTGACTTTATCGTTACCTAATTTGGCTTCTTTGTTTCGACTTATTTTCGGAATGAATTCGTAAGACACTCGTGTACTCGGAAGTATTCCCGACAATATTCGTAAACAATAGCGTGAAAGTATTATTGACTTGATCGTTTCCTAATTTGGCTTCTTTGTTTCGACTTATTTTCGGAATGAATTCGTAAGACACTCGTGTACTCGGAAGTATTCCCGACAATATACGTAAACAATAGCGTGAAAGTATTATTGACTTGATCGTTTCCTAATTTGGCTTCTTTGTTTCGACTTATTTTCGGAATGAATTCGTAAGACACTCGTGTACTCGGAAGTATTCCCGACAATATTCGTAAACAATAGCGTGAAAGTATTATTGACTTGATCGTTTCCTAATTTGGCTTCTTTGTTTCGACTTGTTTTCGGAATGCATTCGTAAGGACTCGTTTATTCGGAAACCCTCCCGACGATCTTGATATGCGTAGATAATATCGTGAATATTAGTGATATAAAAAGTGCTTCCTTGCATTAAAACTGACAATTTCTTCCTCTATTTCTATGTTATTTATTCGATATAAAAAATGGCTTTTCTTGTGAGATAAATAAGCGCAAGATATAATGCTATAGGACTAAACAGATGTTTATCGAAATAGTATCGCCTCGTCAAACTGTTGAAATGTCGAATGATGAATGGATATTGGCTCTTGATGCAAGCATGAAGATTAATGTGGGCGTGGAGACAATCGGCTTAAATGTTTTTTTTTTTGACAAACGTAGACGTGTAATTGTCAAAGCTCATTGATAATTCTTTTTTGTTTTTTAACTGTTGTTGTCCATGCGTCACTGAAAGTGAAAAACA